TTCAAAATTGATGCTGACAGTGTGTGCACTGGCAAACCAGTCGGAGTCAGGGATGGTGCCGGCATCTGCATGATGTTTTGAAGGGTCACAGACTGTTGGCGAGCATGCTCTATCACCTTCTGCATCTCAGCCCGTGAACTAAGCAACAGCTTGATTTTCACCTCTTTGATTTTTCCACCATCTGTCATCATCGCCTGCCGCGCATCTTCATCAGTGCTGTGAAGGAAAGATGTTTTCCAATGTTAAACAACATGTCCGAGGTTCAAAATTGTAACTTCTGTTTCAAATAATTTTCATCACCTGTTTCATGGTAATGTTCTGTCTGAACAACTTACGCTCTCAAGCTGAATTTTCCTTAATTATTTTTATTCTTAGAAGTTTTCCTTTTCATGTTCATATCTAGATTATTTACATCTAAAAATTGTTTCTCGCATATTACACTAAAATACAGTCAGCTGATATTCAAATTTCCTGCAATGCTGCCGTGCATAAACAACACAATTAGATACAAACAAAATACAATCTTTGTTGCAAACTTAAATTGTGGGGGGAGGGGGGGATCAGAGATGTATGCTTATCAAGGCCCTACTTTGTACTTACGATGTAATCAAAAGATTTCAGAATTTGCTGCTGTAATCCTGTATCCAGGTGAGAATTGTTTAAACTAATTTACAACCAGTTTTGTTGTAATTTCAGAGACATGCCAGACACAGATGTTTCATTTTCACCAAGTGATTAAAGGCATTAAGTGAATTAATTTTTTCTCATCTCCCCAACATACACATGCAGTGATTCTTTATCTCTCCCCTAAAGAAACTAAAGGCAAAATCCTATGTGTATGTCCTGTTCTACAAAGATATATAATTATTAATTAGCAAATTTAAAAATACTTCCAGAAATATCTTGTTTGGCACAGGCTGTTGTAGCAGAGTGACTCCAGTGCACTAAAAAACACGATAGATTTATTTCAATCTATCTCGGCTGCAATGAGCACAGGAAGTTCGATTTTTTGGCCATAAGATTGATTGACCGTTCACTTGTCATGGTCATAACAGCTTCTATGATACAGTGATCTCTGAATGATGTATTACGAAATGATATGAAAGGAAGTGATCGAGGCCTACTTCAAGAGGCAGATAGATTATTTTGGAGTGTCCCGCTAATCAGTGACCCTCCCAGGACGCTTCTCCGTCATGCGGCCGAAGAAAATTCGGACTGTTAACAGAATCGACAAACCACAACCTAACACGTTAAAAATAAAACTATCCCGATTACAGCTGGTGTTAAAAATGATCTACGTTGTTTCGCAAGCATTCCTGGAACCTGTGTAAAAGGTTTACAGTCACACGGTGAAGTTGTTATGCAATTTACTAGAACAGTTGTAAAAACCTCGATGTACCTTGAACGACTACGCAAAATTATAAAAGGACGACGGTACAAGCGGTCACTATGATTAATATTGTGATAAAGGAAAGTTTAAAACACGTTTTAGTTCAAAGTCAACTGATCAAGAAATAATAATTATTAAAACATTAACTATTCTCACATATCGTTCGAAACTCATTGTTTCATCAAAAGAAATAGCCCCTTTGTGCTCCGAGTACTAAATGCGTACTGGGCTTAAAGGAATTCCCGTGGATCAGTATAACAATTTTGTGTTTACGTATCAGCTCCAATGTAAACGACCCTTAAACCAGTGGTGGCGTTAAGTTTTCCGGGAAGCAGGAAACCGCCTACCAAACTTAAATATCGAATTGGGGGCAGTGTACAACGGAGTGTCGAGAACCAGTCAAATTCACACTTTCCTCAAAAGAACACAAATGGTAGGAACTGTTCTATCTGTAACGCTTATATTATGGTACCGAGCTTGCTGTAATTACATTAAAACTTCGATTTAATGATTGGTTAGTTTACGGAGACTTCCGTCATGTGCAGTATCATTTGAGATTTGTATTGGATAAAGTGAAATTGGAACAGAATCCTGAGTATAGACATTTGTTCTTACGAAAAACAGCTTTGCGACGTATTACCAGCACAATACGGGGAATCTTAAGTCCAGTCATATAACAAATTAACGCGGGACAGCGTTTTGAAATAAGTCCCGTTTCTCTTACCTTATCGCAACATTAGGTGGTAGATTTCTGTTGGCGGTTGCTTTCTAAAACACAGTACGTGAACTTCCCGTCGTATGTCCCACCTAACGAAATCGCTATGGACCTATTTCACTTCCATACCATTTGCTCCAATTGACTTTCTATAACTTTTTCTTCAGATTGTAACAATGAGTCCCGATCTTCAGTACAAATTTTGAAAGCCAAAGCATTCAAAATGGTTGAAATTTTAAACGTGCGATTCAACGTATGCTTTTATTTTAGATTTTCCTCGTAATACAATTAACGCGTTCGAAACAATTTGTCGTACTTCGCCTCTAATATATCCACTTGTACGATTTACCACAACATTCGTCATTCTGCATCAACACAAGACACTGGATCACAACAGACCGACTATAAGATCCAACTGCAACAATGGGGCTGTTTCCTTTAGCGAGCAGGGCAACGATAATCTAATAATGGAAAATATTATTATTAAAACACGTATCGTAAGCGATCAACTTTTAAATGATTTTTACTGGAACCTTGTACAAGAACTGCAACTACATCGAAGTCTATTTTGTGAAAAACGGAAAATTTGCACTCCGGATGGGGGTGACGCCCTTGGAAGTTAACAGCCTGTAAGTTATTAGTCCACACTCAACGTACAGTGTGGAAATACGGGTTTCATCAAATACCAATTTCTATAAAGAGCACCGGAGGGCAGGGGGGATTGGAAACAAATAAATATGCAGCAATTAACTCACTGTTCAGTTTTGCCTTCGAGATATTTTATTCGGTATGTCATCTACAATCACGAGCTGGCAGTTAGTCATCGTACTTCGTATTGGGGGAGTTCCGGAGATCAAATATAATCCCTGTTACCGGCTATCCTAAATTTTTTCGTGGTTAATCTCAGTTCGTTCAGGCAAATGCCAGGACAGCTTCCTTCCATACCATTTTTATCATTCGACTGTGAGCTTTTAGCTGAGATATAGCGTTATAAATTAAACGATAAATCATATAATAAAATAAATTAAAGTAGCAGCAGAAATGGCGAAGGAAAAGCAAGCGAGTCGTTAACAAAAACCCGTACTTCCTCATGTAAAACGGATATTAAAAAAAATATTTACAAGTGTGAAACGTGTAAATAAAACTCAGTATTGTAGTTATTAGCAACAAAAATGTTTCTCCGTCTTCTTTGTAAACAGATTAAAAGCCTTTGTGCGATTCTGTTGTAATCGACCTGCCAAACTTATTTATAAGATGTTCCTTCTCTCTTAAACATAATGGGGCAGAGTACAATCGATGTGAACCTTGTCTTAGCAGTAGCATGACTGACTGGCAAAACGAGAACGGTCAGGTCATCCCACGACGCTGCATCAACGCACCAACTCCGCTGCGTCGAGAAACGAAACGTCTTGCACAAACGCAAGTCTACTCCGGGGTGGAACTTCTAAGATTCTTTACAGAAGAGCGAGGCATAAACCTCGACAAAATATTATTTAAGAATTCAGTCCGTACCGCGAAGAAAACACCACACTTCACCATTACGAAGATCAACTGGTTAACGCTGTTTAAGGAAATAATCGCTGTTTATTCTGAGAATCACAGTTCGTCTGATTAATATTTAAAAACTCAGTCCGTACCACGAAGAAAACACAACTCTTCACCCTTACAAAGACCTAGTTAACGCTGTTTAAGGAATTAATCGCTGTTTACACTCAGAATCATTTGAAACCCATAAATACACTGGTCATATCGTTTAAGTAGGTGGCATATGTACTTATAATTGAGCTCAATAAAGGTAAAAGACGTCTTACTTCTTCGGCAGTATTAATAAAGAAGTAAAAGTTTGAAACGTGGAATCCTGGCTGTGCGTAATTCATGTACCTCGTCTATAATGAACTGTGTCCTCTAGTTCTGTTACCTGAAGGCAATGAATGCATCTCCTTGCTCGCCCCCTACAATGTGAACACCGCCTTCGGGAATGGCGAGACCTCTGAAGTACTGCCGGATGTCCAGAGCGTTGGCCGACCATGGCAGATTCTGTAGTCTTATGATGACACTCATCTTCGAAGTCCTACAAACAAAAGATGCTGACATATAGGCCTCTGAAGGCCGGAGACACTCCTTCCAGCAGATATCGGTAATAAGTACAGTGCTCAACCCATAAGCTGAGTCATAAATACCAGCCATGGTATTCAATGCAATAACGGCTTCGCGACTTTTTCTTTCCAGCAACAGCTTCCAGAATTGTAGGATCTGAGGTTTTCACGGCGGTGTGTCTGAAGATGGCTGTCTTCTGTGTTGTGCCGCGTAGTCTGCGGTAAACTTACAACAACCCAGACGACAGCCACCTTCAGCTTCCAGAATTCTTCGAGAAATGCATACAGCGCTTGGTGACTCAATGGGAAGCACATCTTAATGCAGACGGTGACATTCAGCGAGATCAAAGATATTTAATCGACCTTCGGCGGGTTTATATTAAACCATCCTCATGTATGTATGTATGGGTGTGAAACTTGGTCTCTAAGATTGAGGGAAGAACATGGATTAAGTATGAGATAGGGGTTCTCTCGGCGTTGAAGATTTCTGTTGGTATTCCACATTCTAACATTGTGTGGGCCTGCATATAATACCAGCGTTTCGGAGAAGTATATTGTGTCCAGCTTCAGGACTTCCAAGATGGAGAATGCCCGTATCTCCGAAACGTTAGTATGTTCACACGGCGTTACAACCCACACGACCACCATCGAAAGAGGTTGAAGATGTTGAGAGCAAGGTGTGAGAATATTTGGACCTAAAAGGAATGGCAGGAAGCTTGTATTATTCATACTATATGATTAAATTAATGAGATGGGCGAAGCATGTAGAGAGCGTGGGGAAGATTAATGCATACAAAATATTTGTATGAAAGTCTATAGGGAAGAGATCCCTAGTAAGACCCAAACGTAGGTGGTAGGGTAAAATTAAAATGGCACGGCAATGGACCTTCTGGTACCACACACAAAAAAGGGGGAGAATTTGACTAGCTGAGCGTATTTAAACCATGACATAAAATCAAAATTATCAACAAGTGCTCAGAAAAAAAAGTTGTACCTAAGAGAATGAAATGAGCAGTACAGATAGTACATAACTAGGAACTTCTTGATTGATGCAAGAAATGCATACCGAACTTTTGTGGGGAAATCTCTCGGAGATCGAGTCCTTGGAGGACAAAGGAAATGAGAGAATAACGGATACAAATGAGATCTGAGGTTCTCACGACTGTGAAGTCGATATCTGCGTTGTGTGACGACGTGTGCACTTCCAGGCAACACAAACGTTTCGGAGGAAAAAACTGATTCCATCTTCAGGGCTAAAAATAGTCGTGATAATCAATAAAGCCGCCTTTTATGGACTCCGAAGATTCAAATTCATGATCACGAAAGCCCACACAGGGTCTCTGTTCAGATCGACGTGAATCCAGTCTACGCCCTGTTCCTCGAATATCCACTTTTATATGAACTTCTTGTCTACGCTGGGGTGTTCCGCGTGGTCTCTTCCCTTCATATTTTCCGTTCAAAATTCTGTACGTATTTCCCAACTCTCCGAGGCGCGCTACATGCTCTGACCTGCCCATCATAATTTTTGATGACTACAAATTGTGGAACACGTTATAAAATATTCCCGTCTTCTGTCACTTCATCTTCCTTGGGTCCAAATATTCTGCACCCTATCTCCTTACCTTAAAGAAATAGACCGAGTTTCACACCCATATAAAACAGGTGAAACTACATTGTGTGTATTTTAATCCCCACTTTTTAAGATACTAACAGGAAGACAAAATATTAACTTCATCACAGCAAGCACTCCCCGAATTTAACCTATTCGTGAATGCAATGCTCTGTCCTTCCCAAACCCAAGACCTTTGACACATTTTCAAAGAATTTATTCGCCCTTTTCTATGCTGATTCTGTCCTGTAATCAGATTTTGAGATACGAGCATGTATTTTTCTCTGCGTTTAATTCTAGACTAACTTTCTTTAAGTAAACTATTTTCTGGATATTATCCATCGTCCAAGACTAAATAAAATCAATAAAAAACGACATTTCGGAGATACACTCCCATCTCCGAAACGTCGTGGGGTTTTTTGATTTTATTTAGTCTTGAACGATGGATAATATCCAGAAAACAGTTTACTTCAACAACTCACCATCGTCACAAACTTTTAGAATTGATCAACTTTCTTTACTTGCATCCGTAACAAACAAAGCTTTTGTTAAGATTTTTATATATACACCCAATAAATTAACATCAGGACAGATCAGAAGCTCTCATACCAAACCCTGTTTCCTTTACTGGGCCTTCCTGATGACAGATTCCTAGCAAATTAAACAGCGACGGCGATTAAGAAACTATTTTTTTTTAGACATTAAATATTAACGATATCCTCACAGGGTTAGGCCATAACCTAACGAAATGCCCCAAAATAACACCACTTAACCTGAGTAAGCATGAACGCAGTACTTCTTACAAAAATTGTTAATGTTGACCACAAAAATGACGTGTCTGCGAGAAACAAAAATCTGATGACAACTAGAAATGTATACTCTACAGGTCTTGTATGTTTCAAAATTACGTGAACACGTATTTAAGAACATTACAGTGTTGTGAACTGTGTAATAGTCCTATTAATGGCCTTTAAAAGACAAAGTTTATTAAAAAACAATTCTAAATCTGCTGATCTCGCGGTAATGAAAATGTGGATCGTGATATTATGACGTAATGTGGTTTTGTACCAACTTTTCGGACGACCGTACCATGAACATGTAGGTGATACGTTCCTTCAAACTGTTGGTAACCACATACACGATTAAGTTCTCACGACCGTAAAGACGAAGATGTTGATCTTCTGGGTGGCAACGCCGTGTAAACTTGTGGGTAGATACAAACGTTTCGGAGAAACTTACTGCCTCAATCGTCAGGGTTGAAGATGGACAAAAAAACATTTCTCCGAAACGCTGATATCTGCGTGTCGTTACAACCCACAAGACCATCCTCACACACATGAATACACGTCGTCACAAATCAAATTACCACAATTTCAAAACCTCGATACATTTAAAATGCCTATTCCAAAGCTACTAATCAGTCATACGTCAATACATATCGATAAAAATAATTTGGCAACAGATTAAACTGTCATTATTAGCCTAGTCACAAATATTGCATCTATTTTTTTAAAAAAAAATTCTTTCGGATGAGTGAATACAATTTGACGAGGCTTTGAAATTGTTCACACGCAGGTCTTCCGAGAAACATGAAATTCCATTTCAAGAAAGAGTGGGTGTCCTAGGAGTGGCTCAAATTATCGTACAGCTTTACACTTCGCATTGATGTCAACTCTTTTACGGAACATGTAAATTAGCGGGACAACAATTGTTAAGGCACCTTCTGTCCCACTGTAATAGCCTCGAATCTAGGAAATGAGGTGTTCGAAGCGAAACAGATGTCGTGTTCTCCATCATCTAGATCTCAAAACGTAGAGCTGCAAAACCATCGTCACTTTCACAAAAACATGATAAAAATGCTCCAAGCTTGGTCGCCATGGTAACTCAATATAAAGTGGACTCATATGTGTGAAGTTAACTTCGTAGGCGTCTTCAAACAAAATGTACTGTAAACAACACAGTCTTTCTTCACTAACTGCTGTTCATTAATTCCCTGCTGAAGGTCCATCATCTTCACTAGTTGCCAACTTCAACACTTTGCCACTTCAATTCATCATGACCAAAACAAATTCTCCAAGGTCAAACTGTCCCCCCCCATTTTCGACCGTCTTTTGCTCAATCACACAGCAAATTACCATTCACCACACTCATCAGTCGCTGTGAAAAGCTACTGCAGTCAACACCTCTCAGATCCCTGCTATTGTTGGTCAATTAGTTCCTTCAGTTTTAAACTATGTACTCTCTGCATTAATCATTGTCAAATAATCATAACAAATGCATTTTCCCCCATTAACTATTGGTAGTAGTATTAGTCTGAGAATCCAAACACCAAAAGGCAAATCATGGGGAGGGGGAAAAAGAGAGAGAGAGAGAGAGAGAAAAGAGAGGCCCATAATATAAAAAGTAAAAAGCCAATAAACATGGTTCCAGTTCTGTACACTGGTGAATTTAACATACGATTAATTGCATGTAATAGTGTTGTCAGAGAATATCACAATCTACTTCATGAGATAAAAGTGTTCACTAGTTTCAAAATTAAAATTTTCTCTCTTCGCCACATGAACTGCAATATACGAAAAAAATGAACAAGGAAGCCGAAACAGGGGAGGGAGTCAGAAAAATTTGTCCCCACCCAAGTCACATAAAAATGACACAAGAAAATTATTTTTGAACTAAATTCATAAAGAATAACAGCAAACCTGGGCAATGTGAGTAAATTCCCATATAAAATAGTGTCTCCAATATGGGGAACAGAAAAATGTGTTCCTCTGATTCCGCTTGTGTGTGTTTCTATGTGAACATGTCTCTAAGAACATCCCAAGTACATTTTGGCAAAGAAAGTTCAGACATTATCAGCCCTAAAACCACAGTTTCATTGCACGTTTCAAAGGCCATCACTGGCCGAGATGCAAGAATAGCCTTACACAGTTAAGTGGGAAGGATAAGAAAGGAAAAGTGGCTTTGACCTGCTTGCAGATACTGTTCCAACAATAATCATCCGGCAGTACGAAGAAAAAATGTGAAATTTGCAAGTTATAGAAACATCAATGCTTAAACACTGCTTTCACATTGCTTAAGAAAATGTTCTTCATATAAATAACGACGCTGCACATTCTATCAAATTCATTATGCAGCTGCGTGCCGGACGGACATTTCCTTGGCACTCCGTAACGTGGGGCCTGGGTCACTTTGGTGAAGTACAATATTTCCCCAACTCAGTAACAGGTTTTGTCTTTTGATGATGGTGATGAGAAAGTCTAGGAGAATCAGCAGATGACAGGTGTCACGAAGTCCTAAGTAGTTCCACGTTCTGGCGCATCCTAATGTCATGTAATTCTCTGTATTAGTAACCAACTGATTCAGCCT